TAAGTAACTAATCAACTCCGTGGGTCAAAGAGGAAATGGTATGGTCTGAATTCTTGAGAAATGTCTAGCCTTTTGTCGAAATTTCATTGCATTGTTCACAAGAGACTGCTACTGGCTCATACCCTGAGCCATATTAGTGCAGTACACATCCCCACGACCTGTTTCTATAAAATCATTTTTAATATTATCTTCACATCTGTACCTAGTTTTTCTAAGTGCTGGTTAGTGCTCTTGAGGTTTCTGAAAATTGTATATGAATTTTTCATTTCTCTCATATGTTATGATAATTAATAATAATAATAATAATAATAATAATAAAGAANAAATTTATTCCTGTGGTTGACTAATTAAGCACTACGCCATGAAGCCGTATGGGGGAGTGGATGTATACATTCATATTTTCTTGACCTCTGCACTACTTGGAGGTGAATGGTGAGCTTCACCCCCCAGCCACTTTACCCCTGGGAAAGAGCCCCCCGGTACCCATTGTATAGGAGGTTGGGGTGGACCCCAGAGCTGGTCTGGACGATTGGACAAATGAAAATTCTTGACCCTACCGGGACTCGAACTCCGACCCCTCTGTCGTCCAGGTCATGGCCAGTCTCTATACCGAATACGCTATCTCGGCTCCTAATAGTAGTAGTAATACATTATAGTCTCATATAGTGCAAAACATGCTTGAAGGCAGTGACAGGAACCCAAAAGCTAAAATCTGCAATTCTTTCCGCATTTGCTTGTGCCGCTGGTTCAAGTACAGTTGGGTGGATGAATGCTTGGTGAGTTACGCCTCAAATGGGCTCATTGTACCATCCCGTTTGATAGATGAGCCAGTGAATCCTTGGTGGGATGAGAATTGGCAGGGGGGAAACCGAAATACTCGGCGAAACCCTTACCCCAGTGTCACCATTCCTACCACAAACCCCACATGTCTGCTACGAGATTTAATCCTGATCCCCTTGGTGAAAAGCTGGCACTAATCGCCCGAGCTTTGGCTCGGTCTGACAAGTTAACTAGCTCTTTGATTCCTGGTGAAAATACTAAGACAAGTGACTGGGTTGGTAACGCCTGCATCACAGTATTCAGTCTGCTATGATCCCCGATAATGACATTCACCATCTTTAGAAAAAGCTTCAGTGATTCTGATATTCGTTTCAGTTCGATCCTTGGCCAGAGCAGTCATCAAAACCATACCACAACAACAAGATTCTCCATTCGTACTGAGGGCAGCTCCAGCCTTAATAATTAATTTGACACAATAGACCACTCCACTGTCATTCTTCGTGTTCTGTCTCTCTCTCTGTAATCTGAATTGATCGTAACCCGTGGCATTTCACGGGAAAATACTTATAAATTCTTCAGAGGGGACGTTCGTTTGGTATAGATTGTGGTCCTCTGTGAGTTATGACAGTCTGAAGTCTTATGTGTAGTTACCAAAGTTTCAAATAAACTTGCTGCACTTTCTGACCGCCTCTGTAGTGTATTGGTCATAGTTCCTGGCTACAGATCCAGAGGTCTCGGTTTCGATTTCCGGCACTGCCAGGTTTTCTGAGAAGTAGTGTGTCAGGAACGGGGTCTACTGAGCCTCGTGAGGATAATTGAGGAGCTACTTGGATGGAAAAGTAGCGGCTCCGGTCTAGAAGACCGAAACTAATGGCCGTGGGGATCCGTTGCGCTGACCACGCGACGACTTCTATCCGCTAAAGTTGACACTAACTTCGCCGACAAGCGGCGGTCGCTCGGTCGGTATAGTTCGCTTGTTGACTAAAGCCACGGAGTTTGTTTTGTTTTTGTTTACCGAAGGACGTTGCCAGTAACTCAGACTGTAGGCGTCGAATGATGGGATGGGCAGTGAATAACGAATTCAAAGAGATAAGGAAGTGGCCGTGACCTAATTTGAGGCATTATCCCAACATTTGCCTTACGAACGAAGGAAATCTACGAAAACCTTCAATCAGGAGAGTTGGCGCCTCGGCCAAGATTCAAAACGGTGATCTCCCGAATACAAGCCAGAAAGCTTACGGCTGGAGCAACTTGCTCACTCGTCGCGTTGATCACTGGATAAAGCTGGGGAGGCTAGATATGCATAAATTGGACAAATTTTAATCCTGTTTGATTTGGGATTCTCACAGCTGTGGCTCTGAACAGTGCCATCTTCAGGACGATGGATAATGTCCAGAAACATAATATTTGTGCTGTCTGCAAGGTTGTAACGAACATCTAGTTCAGTACAAGTCCACAGATATTTCGAAGTAATATATCGCCTCCGTCTTCAGGATGGAAGAGAAAGCCAAACAAGAAACAAACAACAAGCCGGAGACTGTTTATTGCTGATTTTCTGCTTGATACTTTTCAACCCTGAATAAGGAAGCGATAGTTTCCTCCTAAACGTCGGTGGACTTCTGAACTACACGGCCATACAACCCAAAAGATTGTAGCTTTCGAATTGGAAGCATCTTTCCCAATAAGTTACCTTTATTTATTTAAGCTACGACCGTATGTTTTTATAGGAGGCGGGATAGTATAGCGAGTGGCTACAGGCTGGACGACAGAGGGGTTGGAGTTCAAGTCCCTGTAGGGTCCAAATTTTCTCTTCTCCACGTCGTCCAAACCGACTCTGGGGCCCACCCAGCCTCCTGTCTAATGGGTACCGGGGGCTCTTTCCCTGGGGGTAAAGCGACCGGGGAGTGAAGCTCACCACTCACCTCCAGCTAGTGCTTAGGTCAAGAAAATGTGGATCTATACTTATAATCCCCCACACTCTTTCATAGCGTAGTGCTTAATTAGTTAAACACAGGAATAACTTTACCTTTCCTTACCCTACCCTACCTTACCTTACTGTAGAATTTTATTTTAGAGTGAAAAACGCCTTTGTGGCCGCTTTTAGCATGCATCTTTCCACTCATGTTCTCTCTCGTATAGTCCGTTTTCCATGTGCCATGAATTCTTCCCTACGAGCGCGTGCAGAGCAGCTAACAGTGTTCAGATGACTTCTTTGTGCCATATCGGGTCGGGTCAGGTCGGGTAAATTGCTGATGGTCCTCTCCAGCGTAATCATTCTTGGTTCCGAGTCCCGCGGGACTCATGGCCGTATTTTAGTGTCTCGCGACTCTGGGAGTCGTACAAGTCTGCTACCGAATCGATTATTCTGTGCTCGTTATATCGCAACTAGGCGTAGACCTAAAGCCATTTATTTGACCTTTTAAGCTCACATAGACCGCCTCTGTGGTCTAGTGGTCAGAGTTCTTGGCTACAGATCCAGAGGTCCCGGGTTCATTCGCGGCGCTGCCAGGCTTTCTGAGAAGTAGTGGGTCTGGAACGGGGTCCATTCAGCCTCGTGAGGATAACTGAGGAGCTATTTGAAGGAAGTAGCGGCTCCGATTTAGAAAACCGAAATTAACGGCCGTGGGGACTTGTTGCGCTGACCACGTGACACCCTCTATCCGCTAAAGTTGACGCTAACTTCGTCGAAAAGCGGCGGTCGCTTGGTCGATATAGTTCGCTTGCTGACAAAAACCACAATTTTTTTATGTCTGCAATTTCAGCGCCATTTATATACACAGCATCTTGGTTCATTATATTCTTTCACGTCTTCCTTTATGTATTTTTGGGCATGTGTACAAATCTTGTCTCAGTTATTATATACATTCGAATCGACGTTTTACCTCTGTGGCATTATGACTTTCACGATTTCCCAGTCCTATAGGGAGCCCCTGGAATGGGCAGCTAACATCACTACCCATCTCAGAATATTTCTGTTTTCCAGCACAAACCAAAAACTTTATCTGACTTCCGAAGTTACGAATACGAAACTTCGCAGACTCAATACGGTTTAACACAAAGAAACACGAAAGAGACACTCTAATAACGCCTTTCTACTGTCTGCACAGTTGGGTTTCCCGCGCTTCTGTAAGTCATCTACAGATAGCTGACTCGTTCTCGCAAACCTGTATTCGTTGTTTAAGAGATAATGTCTTCTGTGTAGGACTATGCTACTGGCATTGAATGGATTTTCTCTTCGCAATATCATGCAAGGTTTGAAACAACCCCTCCCCACGCACAAGGTTGTCCCTGTGCTTAACTAATTAAACATGACTCCATGAAGGCGTACGGAGTAGTGGATGTATAGATCCACATTGTCTTGATCTCGGCACTAGCTGGAGGTGGTCACCTTCACGCCCCTGCCGCTTTACCCCCGGTACCCATTGGATAGGAGGTTGGCTGGACCCCAGAGCCGGTCTGGATGACGTGGAGATGAGAAAATTCTTGACCCTACCGGGACTCGAACTTCGACTCTTCGGTCGTCCAGCCCGTAGCCAGTCGCTATATCGACTGGGCTATCCCGGCTCCGTTGAAATAGTATAATTCTGTTTTTTCAAAAATACTCCCTTCCAGCAATTAAATCTTGTTTACGCCCGGGTAAATATTAGCAAAATCATAATTAAAGCTGACCACACACACCAGTATCCAGGACCGAGAGGAAGAATGCATGGAGCCAACGGCAATACCATGTTGAAAACACCGGTTCTCGTCCGATCACCGAAGTTAAGCAACATTGGGCGTGGTTAGTACTTGGATGGGTGACTGCCTAGGAACACCAAGTGCTGCGCCATAGCTCAAGCGGTTAGTCGCTGGCTTCCCACTGCGGCGGCCCGGGTTCGAGCCCGGTTCTGGTGAAGTGTGGTTTATGGTGGACAAAGTGGCGCCGTGGCAGGTTTTCTCCGAGTACTTCGGTTTCCCCTGTCAATCTTCATTCTACCAAATGCTCCATCATCATAATCACCAAGGGCAGGTACAATAGACAAATCAGTGGCCGACGTGCCGGACCCAGTTGGACTCCACCCCCAACTATGCGAATTTAAGAGTGCATGGAGCAATACATCTGCTCCCTCATATGTCTTCATGGCATGACACTTAAGCACGGGGGTAATTTTAGCTTTAATAGAAGATGTGAAATGTGATGAAATAGTTGTTGATTTTGCTTGTTTATTTCTATGTTTCAGTTCGGCTACATGACAGCATACAAGAAGAGAACTTCCACTATCTAGTGTTTGATTTGTAAGTACATCAAAAAACTCCATTAATACTTCTTACTCTTAAATTTCAGAACAACTAAGGCCTTATGCATTATTGTAGTCACCACATTAAACATTTTTTTCTAAAATTAAATATTTACTTTTAACACAGATGGACACTGCATTGTGATAAATTAACATAAATTTATTCGCAAATTAATACGTTTTTCCTTCTTAAGCCTTTAAAGCCCCGTGGTTTTGTAGGTAACACCTGCTCTAACATATTTACACTCTGCGTTCTGCCCACAGAATGCATTTGTTCGTTTCATATGATTCTCACAGTAAACAGTGACTGTTTCCCTAACAGCATTAACCGGTTCGTCTTTGTAGCGGAGAAGTGATGTGTTTCCTGTGAGGTATAAAGTGGATTTTTTATATATTTCTTAGAAATTCAAACTGACGAGTCTTTGCCATATTGCAATCAGGGCAGAGGCACACAAAGACCAGACTGGTGTCACGCAGTGTTAGAACCGCCAACAATTCGGCAAGCATCCTCCTCGATTTATGTGATGTGAGGGTGGTTTTGAAGAAATTCTAAAGTGATTTCTTCAGCTATATGTTTTTAACTGTAACTTCACCAATATTTCCTCAAAGATACGTACTGGGGATCGTAACTGCAAGCTTTCATAATTGGAAATATTTGATTGGCCATAGCTTAGAATTTTACAACGATGACACTTTGGTGTCTCTCTCTCAACCCTCTCTCTCCTTCTTCCTCCCCCCCTCTCACTCTTTTTCCCGCTGTTGTCCTCATATCCTAAAAACAAGGATATAGTATAATTGTTAGTTTTGTCTTATGGATAAGAATATAGGGTTATTCACAAGTCCGTGAAACATTTTGAAAATTTACAATAAATAAACTACGCAACGGATACAAAATTTTATTACACTGAAATAGAGATAAACTCACCAAGTTCGTTTTTTTAGATACGTGTAGTTCACAGATGCTGAACATGTCCACCTTTGCCGATATGGCAGACATCTATGCGATAATCCATTTCGTCCCACACCCGTGTCAGCATATCACGGTTGACCATAGCCATAGCAACGGTGATACGGTTGCGAAGATCCCTGAGATTAGCAGGCAGTGGACGCTTTAAAAATAACTTGGAGAGATTCATTCTCTATGGGCGTAAGAATTACCATGACCCGATGAATAGTTTATTTGTTGTGAATTTTTAAAATGTTTCACGGGCTTATGAATAACCCTGTATAGTTTTTGCGTTTACTGACAGCTTATGAAATTCCAGTACGCATGTTACCTTTCTCATATTAGCTTTTTACTGTAAATTTTGTGTTGAAATTTTGTTAATTCTTATCCAGAGTGTTGTCATTAATAATTAGGTCTTGGAGTCTCCTCTATTCTTATTTTGCAACAAATAAAGCACTATATGAATTCGTCCATCTATTAATTTATATTACTAAATTGATGTTAATTCTTTACTGATATGTGTTGTTTCATGTTATTCTCCTCAGAGTGACGGGTGGTGAGCTCTTCGAAGACATTGTTGCACGAGAATTCTACAGTGAAGCGGACGCCTCTCATTGTATTCAACAGATACTGGAAAGTGTCAATCATTGTCATCAAAATGGAGTTGTTCATAGAGATCTAAAAGTAAGACTGGAATTTAAACTGTTTCTATGTATGATCTCCAATTTGTTGAATGATTGATACTAACAGATCATTAACACATTTTTCTGTTGTTGTTTTTTCGCTTTTTCTTCCATAGCCTGAAAACTTATTATTAGCAAGTAAACAAAAAGGTGCTGCCGTTAAGCTTGCGGACTTTGGTTTAGCGATCGAAGTACAAGGAGAACAACAAGCATGGTTTGGTATGTTCAGAATTTTATGTTCTTTCCTTTTAGTGCCTGTGAATTCCTCGTGTTTTACAGACTGTTCTGTGTTAAGTGAGTGCTTCTAGCAACTTGCTTTTCAACGTCCGATCAACATTTACTGGCTAGAAGCTAAGATCGTACTTTAGAAAGTCTAATGGTGCGTAACGTAACTTGTAAAACAAACTCATGTTTTCATGTTGGTTAATATAATGGTATTTTCTATATTCTCGTTAGATGAACCCAAATTGTACACTTGTATCTCAGAACTATGTGAGGACTTTGTGATTCTCCCATCTGCACCCATTTATAGGCCGATGCATGCATGCAGTCAAGCCCCTCTGGATACATATATTTTAATTTAATTTGCAGTTCCTTTAAAATGTATCGATCAAAAATAATTATGGTTCACGCTGGTGAACATGTATTACCACTTTACTTGTACTTGTGTGTTTAAATATATTTAGATAAACACTCATATTTAAAAAATATTCAGATTAGAATCTAACTTTCGTATATTTTCGATGTAATGACCGCCAGTTATTTAAAATGGACATTAAATATTCATATTTCAAATACACAGATCTGTGATTAATATCCTGCGGTTGTATTTACGTATGATACGGATATTTCATTGTTTTTATAAAAAGTATTTAATGCTTAATTCTGTTGTGCGTACGTAACAAAAATGTGTTATCTTCCTTTGCATTGCCGTGTTTTCTTGTCCGTCCAACTGCTCTGGTACTCTGGACTCAATCAAATTAATCTTTATTTGAATTTATTAACGAAAATTGATTTTGGTTTACACTGGACAGTTTAGGCTGCCAGTTTTTGTGTTCTGTTGCTCAAGAAGCTAGACCAGTAAATGATTATTTCGGTCTCGGAATGGCCTTTGCATCTTTACAGCCCTTTTAACCCTTCAGAGAACTGTGGTAACTTTCTGTACTACATGTCTTAACATTAAAAACTCCGAATTTTGCCCACAGAGTGTACTTAACTTGGCGTAAAGCGCGATTATTTCCCCATATATAAATAACCAACCGATCATTGTTATATAGGCGAATGTATTTTCTGTTTGGTAGGAACTGAATTTTTGTATAATACACGTATTTAGGTGGACTTCATGCCTCAAAGGGTTAATGGGCTTCATTCTTTTCGGTTGGTGATCATTAGGATTTATTTTGGATATCTTTTATCATCCAGTTGTGGATATTTATTTTCTGATATATAAAATTTGCCCATTCAGAATTTAAAATCCAATTATTCTTCTTTTAAAACTATTAATTTTCATATTCCATCATATGGAAGTGCATGATAACTTGGTAAATTACTGCAGTTTAAGATATAAATAATCTTTAACAAATTTCTGAAACGAAAACTCGTTTACATACGTACTGTACAGAACACTCTGTAAGCATGAAAGTTACACACTATAATTAGTAAATATTTGGAGATGTATCCAGTATTCTCAGATCACCCGCATTTTTGTTTTCAAAACACAGCACTAATCCATCAACCGTTCGTCATAATTAGACGGAAATTTGAGTATGTAAAATTAATTAACATCCCATGTTACATACTCATCAGTTTTATGTATCTCATTCAGTTATTTACTCGTACATAGCTAACAAAGTTTTTCTCCAATTGACAAACAGCACTTCCAGATTTGTTACAATCAAAATAAGATTATTAATTAATACACTGTGAATTACTGTAGTGCTGTGTTTCTGAAACAAATGTCTTTGTGTTTCTTGGGGATGATATAGAAATTTCAGACCTTATGGCAAGGAAACTTTGCTTAAAATAATTTGAATTATGACAGTGACTGATCAGGACAAAGGATGCTCAGTAAATTTCCTAGTGTAAGGCTGTTTGACTATTTCTCTCCCTTAGACCCACCTAAGTTTGTGTGTAGTTTAAACCACCCAACCGGCAGGTGTATAGGTGTGTGCTTTTGGCTCATATCAAACGATTATAATACAGAGCTGTGAACTCAACTATGTTTTGATGTCATCAGGCTTTGCTGGTACGCCTGGCTACCTCTCACCAGAGGTGTTAAAAAAAGAACCCTATGGGAAGCCAGTTGACATATGGGCATGTGGTAAGTTAACTTTATTTTGATTCTGTAGTGTAAGTTTGACATTCTTTCTCCTTTCATGTTATTATATCTATACTTCTACGTATGTACGCCCTTTTATTTAACAATTGTACGCTACTTGATTTTATCCTGTCTTGTTATTGTTTGACATTGTACACAAACGATTTAAACACTTAACTTAAAATATCAATATTTCAATTACAGTGACGATCCAAGATGACCTATTTTGGACAAAGATTTGTCTTTATATTTTTTTGTTGTTGACATATTACCAATAGAGTAGCTGTTATTATCAGCCCACCTTATTTGTATGTAATAAAATTTAACATAACCTCCGTGGCCTGTAGTCCGCAAGCTAACTATACCGACCGAGCGACCGCAGCTTGTCGGCGACGTTAGTTGTGCCAACTTTAGCGGATAGAGGGTGTCACGTGGTCAGCGCAACGGATCCCCACGGCCGTTAATTTCGGTTTTCTAGACCGGAGCCGCTATTTCCTTGAAATAGCTCCTCAGTTATCCTCACGAGGCTGAGTGGACCCCGTTCCAGACCCACTACTTCTCAGAAAATCTGGTAGCGCCGGGAATCGAACCCGGGACCTCTGGATCTGTAGCCAGAAACTCTGACCACTAGACCACAGAAGCGGTCAAAATTTAACATAGCGCTACCTAAAATCATTAGATGAACTGGTGGCGTTTGGTTCACATATGAACCAAACAAGGATGTAAAAAGGTAAGCTCTTATAGATTGTTTATTATAAGAAATTAGAAAACGTCTGAATAGCGCAACAATTCTGGCACGTCAGGCACCTTTTGTTTATTTAACCCTAAAACCCCGCAGTACTTACAGAAAAGTACTAAGGGCGTACCGTATATAATGCCTCCTATTTTTTTTTAAAGAAAACTACAACAGATATGTACAGAAATAATAATAACGCAGTTAAATAGAGCAAGATTTCACCTACTTACAGCTATTTTTCCACATAATCACCACCATTCGTTATGCACTTTTGCCGTCGATGAACAAGAGCCTGTATGCCGCGCCCGTAAAAGTCTGCGCCAGCAGAGGCTAGCCACTTTCTTACAGCTGCAATGACAGCATCGTTGTCTGGAAAATGTTGCCCACGTAGTCCTTCTTTCATAGGCCCAAAGAGATGGAAGTCTGAAGGTGCTAAATCGGGGCTATAATGTGGATGTGGTGGGACAGTCCAGCCAAACTTTGCAATGTGTGCGGTGGTCGTCAAACTGGTATGGGGTCTAGCGTTATCGTGTTGCAAGCGAAAGGTTATCTGCTTCTCTGGCCTGACTCGGAGAAATACGAGCTTTCAGCTTAGTCAGCGTCGTCTTGTAGCGTTCAGAATTGACAGTCCCTGGTCCTTATCTGCTGATCTGTTCGGATGAGGCGCTGTTCATTGTGAGGAGTGGCAGCTGAGGAGGGACGCCCATTGCATGGCTTGTCGTGCACTTCACTTTCGCCACTGTTGAAACGCACTACCCACCGAATCACTGTGCTGACATCCACTGTATTGTCTCCGTACACCTTTAGCAAGTGTCGATGGATGTCAATGGGTACAATTTGTTCGGCAGTGAGAAATTCAATAACACATTTCTCTTTCATACGCACTTCTATGTCAGACGCCATTTTGGTAGACTGCTCTGCTGTCGGTATCTGTCGCACGACAACCAAATTAATAGTACATTAGCGGGAAGGTTCAACCTTTACTACAACACCACCAACATCCAGCTCAGACGTTACATATTAACACAAAAAATAGGAGACATTATATACGGAACGCACCACGTATATATATATATTCGCTGGCTCTTCAGACCCTTGGGCCCTGGCCTCTGATTTTTCAGTTTCATCGTCTTTTACAGACGGTAGGACTCCTTAGACGAGTGATCAGCTCGTCGCAAGACCTCTACCTGAGCACAGAATAACACCTACCAAACATCCATGCTTTGTGTGGGATTCGAACCCGCGATCCTGGCTTCCGAGCGAGCGAAGACAGTACATGCCTTAGACCGCCCGGCTACCGTGACCGACTCAGAAAAATATATTGACTATAAAATTTGTGTTTTGTTTTTTCTACAGTGTTTGTTCCAAACAAGTTTCACTTCAATAAATATTTAGAAAATTATACCCGAGTTAAACGTCCATTATTGTTGTCCAATTTTAATTAAATTTGAAGGGTCCAACAAATATTAGTTCAATTTTACAACATCAGATTGCATGAAAACACTTTATGAGTACGGATAGAACGGCTTTAATTTTCGCGCTGTATGTATGCGAACGCGCTAGAAGCTAATATTCATAACACTGAAAACTGCTTGGGAATTTGGCCTTCTGCTTAACAGCCAAACTAATGCATATTTCGCCGTGCTGTATGTAATATTCATTTCTATTCTGGTTGCAAGTTATATGTAGTCCAGCCTTCTAATAAAAAAGGTTGAGAATACTACCGCGTTTTTTGATGAGAATTATTTTTCCTCTTAATTTCTATTCATTATATGTCGAAATTCGTAATCATTTCCGAGTTTTGCGACTGACTAATTGGGTTATTACTAAGTTCCACCATTCGCAGATTATTTTGAAGTGAATGCGTTGTCACACTGTATGGTCAACAGTGTACTATTTCTCGAAAGTGCACATCTGTAATTTACGTACCGGTGTTTCTTAAAACTAGTAGTAAACATTGTCAGGATTCAGTATCGTCACTAACTGAACAACATTTACTTCCAGCAAAGAATTGAAGACAGTTATTTTTGTAATGTTGCAATGCCTGTGCAGAAAAAAATGTATTTCCTGATAAGGAATTGATTTCAGACTTATTATTTTAATTCTTCGATATCAGTTTTCAGAAAGAGAACGCAGTTGTAATGGCTCCTATGTTGGAGAGTAGTTGACCTTATCGATTGTAATGACTGTGGTGTCGGTCCGTTAGGTATAATGCACTGGAGCTGGTGTACGTGGTGTTGTCCAAGCTTAAGGTATACGTATAAATACATCTGTGACCAGTGTCTAGACCAGTGGTTCTCAACCTTTGTTAGACCACGTCCCTGTAAATTCTTTTTTCTACAAGACGAGGGCCCGGTAACAGGCCGCGACCCGGCAGTTGAGATACACTGATCTAGATTATGTGGGAGCCTCGACGTCTCACAACCTTATGGGCCTCCACAGCTTGTTACAGGGATAACATTACCTCTGTTTTCTATACGTTCGATTCGGTAATCTGAGTGCAATAATGCCAACCTCAGACTTTTATGCCCTAAACTTTTGGTTCAGTCATTATTGTAATGTTTATAATAGCCATTTTCCTTAATTTCTCATCAACTATTAGTTATATTTGAATGAATTATTATTCGGTAGATTATGAACAGCTCTCTGCTTTTATAAGGCAAAACATAAATCCTCGCCTTAATTAGATTTTTTAAAATTTCCTTTTATTTTGGGAAAATTGAAAATTAATTTTCTCAAAAATTCCAAAAGCTAGACACGTAGAGCAAGGGAGTCGTTCTTTTTTTTCCCCAAGTTGTGTTGAACGCATTAAACTTCAATACACTAAGATGAATGGTTCTCAAGCAATGAGCATCAATGTTTTGAGCACGTAAGTAAACTAAAGAATTCTGGGTTTTCACATGTCTAGATAAGGACACATAACCATTATGTCAGATTCGGCTGAAATTGATGCAAATGTGCGGAAATATATGGAGAGCAAAGAAACATGCACTCCCCTTTTTGCAAATTAAATTGGCACCTCAACATGTAATAATCTGCTTTATTGTTTTAGAACAAAATAACGTTGTTACAATGAATACTAATAATGACAGGCCTATTATGTCTTACTTGTTATTAAAGGACTATTCACTACAAAGAGTAATGTTACTAATATGAACCAGATGCCTTCATCTCACGTCATTCACGCTTCTTGTTTTTCAGACTTAACGTGACAGTTTCATACTTAACAATTTACTTCTCATCTCTACATTAGAAGCAGAATCAAAGAATTTTATGGTCTACTTAATTAATTGGACCTTTTTAGTTTCCATTATGTGTTCAATGAAACGTGATAAGCCACATCTTTCATTTTTGTTATTTTGCATCTCTTTAAGTACTGTTAAAAATTATTATTTTGTGAGTCTGTTAGTTTACAATAATGCAGTCAAAATGAGATATTATAGTAAACAGTAAAAAAATTACTTTGTTTACCGGCCTGTTGTCACAGATTTACATAAAGGTTCATCAGAATATCTTAGTTCAGTACAAAAATGTAACAGAATATGAAGGAAAGAAGTTACGAAATGTATGCATAAGGTAACAATTCTGGTACATTCAGTCTCTTTTAATTAATTATGTCTAAGGCTTATGGAAAAACAATATGAAATGCATACTACCTTTTTATCTAAATTTTTTGTTAGAAATATTTTGAACTTTGATATATATTTTCAAAATTATGCTCATGATATTCAAAGAAATGCATGTAGTTCTTCATCTAAACTGTTTGTTACTTTTCCCATTCTTAATCAAAACTGGAATGGGTAAATATTCCCAATATCAAGTTTGATGAAAATCTGCTCAGCAGACTTGTGGACAGAAGTTAAATAGATGCATTTGTGCAGCATATCGCTGGGAATGTACCAGAAATGCCAGCAATATAGAAGTGCAAGCGCATACAGCTGTATAAATAAATACATTTGTGTATTAAATAAACTCTAACAGTAAATAATTGTATACTAAAGAATAAAGTAACTCAAGTTTTGCAGATGTTATCACTCTTTATTATTTTAACTTACTATCTTATTAGTTTAGAAAGAACACTTCATTATAATTTATTAGTTAGTAATAACAATTGCATCAATAATTATTTACCTTTGAAGTAGAATAATGAAAAAGGTGAACAAACGAATACTTGGAAGTGAAAAGTATTCCATGAAAATATCTAGAAGTGTCAAGGAAGTGAAACAAAATTTGCGGGTCAATGCAGTAATGGTTGTTTTTAATATTTTCCTTTATCTCATTGTTATGAATTTTAATGCTACACAAAGCAATCCTTATCTGAAATTAGACATGGTGTTCGTTTCTTCATTGAGTGTATGACATCAGTTTTGATGATGATGTACTGGATTGAAAGAACGATTGTTTTGAAATGTTTTTGTCTGAACTGTTTAATTACCAAATTGTTACACATTGTATACCCTTGCTCTTTTTGCAGGAGTGATATTATACATATTACTAGTTGGTTACCCGCCTTTTTGGGATGAGGATCAACATCGGCTATATGCACAAATAAAGGCGGGCGCATATGATGTGAGTTACTGAGAATATATGTTTCGAAGATGAGAGACTTGCTATGTGTTCTTTATTCAGGTGCTGAAAGTTAATTAAAATTATTGTTACTACAAGTAATATGTACATAATTGTGGTTTATTCAATCTGTCATTTATGGAACATTTGTTCTTCAGATTCTGTATATGTGTAAGAAATGTTAATGCATAGGAAAATTGGTGTTCTAAGCTATGTAGCATTCATGTTTTTGCTTCCAGTATCCCTCACCAGAATGGGATACAGTAACACCAGAAGCAAAGAACCTGATCAACCAAATGTTGACAGTCAACCCTTCAAAGAGAATTACAGCTTCAGAGGCTTTGAAGCATCCATGGATCTGCGTATGTATAAATTTTTATTAATATACACTTTTGTTGAAGAAGGTAGTCTCACAAATTTTTATTTCTGTGGTTGTCTTTCTCATACAAAATTTTGGTTGGAAAACCTGCAGGGAAGAGACCATTTGGAAGTCCTAGTTGTAGATGGTAGAATAATGTTAAAGTTTGGCTTAGAGAAATGTATTGTGAGAATGTGGACCAGGTACATCCTGCTTAGGATCAGGGCACTGGGAAACTCATGTGAACACAGTAATGAACTGTTGTTTTCCAAGAAAGGAACAACATTTTTTGTTAGGCTGAGTGACTGTCAGCTGTTTATATTAAGTAGGACGTTTTTTCTGCTTCTGTATAATACTGAGAGATACAGTGGAACCATAATCTTTCTCGCATAAGAAATCTGTCAAATTTGAATAAGTGGGACCTGACATTCTCATATAAGAAACACTCATACTCATACAATAAAACCTGTCTGAATTTGAACATAGTTTACAGAAACGTCTTAATAAAAAAGAATTCTCTCATCCCAAGAATATAGTGCAAAGGTGATATACAATTATTTCTTTTGGAAACAGAAACAGAAAGCAAGAATATTAGAGAAAATACTCTGCTTTTATGGTTATTGTTTCTGTTTATACAATTTTATCCTATACTGTGTTTTCTGCAGTTCCTCTCACCAACAGGAAACAGTTAAAGCCATTCATGAACAAAATGCATGCAGAATACTTGGAAGTGTGTACAGCTGAATGACAGTTGAGTGTACACATATGGCATGAATTTCTGGCACATGACTTGGATCAAAAATATGTTTCATATGTATCTTACAACATTGTTATCTACAATTAGGTAAACTTATTCAATGGAAACCTTCCTGAACTAGAAGAAAAGTACAGGATCAGGGGTCAAAAAATCTATGAAAATTTAATATTTATATAAATCTCTTGTTTGCCAAAAAAGTTGGATCATTATTTTCTGGTGTCTTACTGTCACTCTTGTCTCCAGTTCTGTTGCTGCGCTGTTTGTCCTAAACACACGCAAGTCACATACAAGTTAATGGCAAAAACATTGAATTTGGAAAAGAAATCAATTCTTATGATTTTATAATTACATTGATCTTAACTTCTTTGGGTGTAGTTCGCTATCCCATCTTTTCCACAAATGGCCGAATGAGATTCCTAGAGCTCAAAAAGCCAACACCTGCATGCCAAGTGGAAAATTAGTTGCTAGTCAGAATTATTGCTTGTCACTGTTGACCAGGTTACTGTATCTTTCACACCAGATCAGGTCCCTTGGAAGTCTGTTATAAGAACTTTTTATTTAGTTTGTTAAATATACTGAGGCAGATCTGACTCTTTCATGACTATGAAACATATTGTACAAAGTTGCTAACCAATTTATGTTTATTTTATTGCAGCAAAGGGAGCGTGTGGCTTCTGTTGTTCACAGGCAAGAAACTGTGGACTGTTTGAAGAAATTCAATGCAAGGCGTAAATTGAAGGTATGTATGATAGAGTAATTCTGATATTATTTGATTCTCAGTTCAGTGGCAAAAGATAAGGTATGTTCTGCAGTTGTAACTGTGTTACTAATTCACTAAGGCACAATCAGACTTCAATGTCTGAAATATTAATGCCATTACATCTTCAAGTCAACATTCAGAACATTAGCATAAATAGTAAGCAAATAACTGTCAATAATTCATCTGTAATTTTAATGGGAAGAGATATTGTAATTACAACGAAGTTGTTGATACAGTACTTCATAAAAAGACTAGTCTTTTATATACAGTACATAGAACTGAGTGCATTTGTAATCAAAACAATTTTAATCGCAACACCATAAAATATTAGTACAAAATATAACAACAATATTAAACATAAAATATTACATAAATGTGTGACTGCCTCTGTGGTCTAGTGGTCAGAGTTCCTGGCTACTGATTTGGAGGTCCTGGGTTCGATTCCCGGCGCTACCAGATTTTCTGAGAAGTAGTGGGTCTGGAACGGGGTCCACTTGGCCTCATGAGGATAATTGAGGAGCCATTTCAAGAAAATAGGGGATCCAGTCTAGAAAACCGAGATTATTGGCCATGGGAAACCATTGCACTGACCACATGACACCCTCTATCCGCAAAAGTTGGCACTAACTTCGCCGACAAGCAGCGGTCACTCGGTCAGCATAGTTCACTTTGCGGACTACATGCCATGGAGTTTGTTTTTTTTTCCTTTTTTTTTTTTGTTAGACATTCTAGTGTCTATATGAGAGTAAGAAACCAGGTATGTACATCATGATAATGAAGTGTTGATTTTGCACTGGTTACATATTTATCCAAAAGAAAAATAAGCCTAAGTTTAAGATCACTTCCTATGATGAAAGGAATTAAAATAGCAAAACAAATTTATAAAAGTTCTTCTTTAAAAAGTTACTGTTTATGTACTTCATTGTTTGTATTACAATTTCTAGAAACATGTTTAATATCACAATTTTGCAGTTATTAATCATTAATAAATATGGAACTTTATCTGTAACATTCCTCCAAATTGACACTACTGGATTACTTTGCATCACATCGCAGAGGTTAATACTCTTCTTACCAGAGTTTTTTCATTAGTTTTAGACGTCAAGCATGCAGAGAGACAGGTATATGTTACCTTCTGTTTACACTGTCACATAATAGGTTGACTATCAACAGGGTTTTGGATTGGAGATCGGATTTACTGACCACTTTAACACACAGCTCAAGACTACGCTTAATTGTAGCACCATCACTAATTGTATCACTTTACAAATCGCTACTAAGTCTTTTCCAGCCTGCAATATCTTCACCAGTCATTCCCTGGTAATGGCTCCTAAGAAGCACAATAGATCACTGTGGTCACAGTGCAAGGGCCAAGAGGGCCCACCCCTTGTACAGTGGCTCCTAACAGTGGAGATTCTTCAGCTTCTGTGCTAACTGCACTGACTAAGTCTTCTCTTTGCAGACTCCCTCACAGTTCTCTTTCAACTCTCTCTGTTACAACTTTCTCAACTGACTAACTTCTAAACTTGTCTCAGTTATAACATCTCAGCATGGACCACATAGAAAACACCATCATTGTACTCCAATCATTTCTATGGGAACATGTTTGTTTTGTTCAGTAATGGCTGTACACACTAAAATACATTCTTTCCATAAAGAACACATGAACTTGACCTTTCTTTGATTTGCTGTTTGTTTCATGTGCAGGGTGCAATCCTTACCACGATGCTTGCAACTCGTAACTTTTCCAGTAAGTATGATGGCCATGGTAAGTACCTCCGGACCCCACATACAAAGAAAAATGATAGGGACAGCCTGTTTTTCAGGCAGTCTTATGGTATGGCCTGGACACTGCCATTCACCAGAATCTTCTGTCTTCACTGGTCACCTCATTGATGTTTAATCCTTATCCAAGCATATGTTTCATTCCTAACCTCACTTCATGATACAGATTTTGGAGTTGTGTCTTTACTCTTCTGCATGATGTGACAGCTGAAGTGGGCTTTCACTATGCAGAATTAACATACTGGAAGAATATCTGAAATTACTGTATTGCCCAAGTTTCAATTTATGTATAGTACATATTTTGATATCACGTAATACAGATAACTTTTTTATAGAGACGTTACTTCAGTATATACTTCTGGAAGACTGGAAAAGTGTGTCGTATATAACAAATAGATACTTATTGCATACATATATTCATGAACTCTAAATTAGTATTTTATGATCAGTTAAGGGCCATAGAAATTCTTTAACTGCCTTGGTAAGATTTGGAAGAAACATTGTGATGTCTCTCACTGTATAATTATATTTCTTATTTAAATATGAATATATTTTTAACTGTATTATGTAGTACATCATTCACTTCCAATTTCAGTTACTCCATGCATTCATGCACTAAATCAGTACACCACATTTCGTCATGTTACTTTTATATTATATACCATGATGCCATTGGCTGAAGTTATTCGATTCATATATAAATTACTAGGGTACTGCTGAGACTTTTTCAAGATGGAAGGGCAGTCAGAAAGTTTGCATATGATCTGATGTTTAAGGAATGAGTCAAGAAAATTAAGGCTGATTTAGGTGAGGTCATTTAAAATTTTAAAAAATTATTTTAATTTGCAATATTAATATTTTGGCATATTTTCTTCTGTTTTAAACTTTTGTCTTTTTTTCCCCCCCAAAATTTGGGGGGGGGGGGAAGGGGTGTGCCCATTCCCTACTCCTCCTTGCCAGAGCCCATGATAAAGTAACAAGAGAAAGAAGTAATGTTCATGAGTGCAACAATTGATCTGCATATAAAACTGAGAAGGTGGGGCTCTGCATCTGAACAGTTCGCTACTTGTATACCTGTGTGAGATCTGAGTTTCTCACAGTAAGAACTATGAAGATTATTGTCTTTTGGGATGTGATACCGTATGATCTAGTAGACCATTGACATAAGTCTATCAAACTACATGAAGTAACATCCCAAAAGAGAGTAATATCTAGTTCAAATACTGACTGCTGCTAGCTTTAGTTTTCCTCAGTCCCTCCAAACAGATTGCAGATTATTCTTATTATTCTGTCTTCACAAAGGGCTATAGACTATTATCTTGTTGTTCCCATTTCCTCTGAGCAATTGTGTGATGATGATGTAAGAGTAAAAAAGAGATTCCATATCAATGTACTTGCTCTTAGATGCTCACCTAAACTTCCTCTGACACATATTCAAACACACATCATCTGTACATTTCTAAAGTACAAACAGCTGAGATTGGTGGTCAAAATAGCACCTGATATCAGATAGAGTCACTGTGATATGTAAACTGATAGGGGAAAAAAGAGATAATGTAAACTGAATTCCAGTATGTTAAGTTATTAATACTCAGAATTTTCCTCCAAAATGTGTCATGTAGTAGACATTAAGAATGCCTTTGGTATTAAAGAACTAGTGTATGATGAATTTTTTAGAATTTCTTATGTCGTTTGTTTTACTGATCAGTCAGAATCATATAAATTTTGAAACCTATATAATCAACAGAGCCTCTGTCATCCTTCCAGTTTTGTACCTTAGGATGGTCATCTGGACATGTTTCTGTTTGTGGGAGAGATTTCTGATGCCTCAAGTCCCTCATAAATTTTCCAGACATCAAAATTTTTCCCCGATTTCCTGCTATGATTTCTTCAGCACATTAAACCACTTTAGACTTAAAGTTGCCGTAAAATAGTCCTGTTCTGCCACACATTATGTGCAGTACTGTTAATGATAAACACATGATCATGACCAAAGTTGATTCAAAAAGCAGAAAGGATGGTTTCCAGATATTTATGGCTACCCTAATGAATCGTGAACTATTCCTGTTGAAAATGTGTATGAGTTGAAGCAGAACATTGCTTTGTAGGTTGACAAAAATGCAACACAAATTTATTATGGAAAATTGAAGGTTTTAAATTTGTACCATAAGACATTAGTGTGATCTGAACTGCTATAAATACTGTATTAAACTATATGGTAGCCAGGAAAAAAATGCCATGTAGTCCTATTCAAGTTGAGGACATTGGCTGGTTGGAAGATTATATTAACCTTACTTGTCATGCTGTTTCAGATATGCAGGCCATCTTATGCAGATATAGCGTAAATCCAGTCCCTGTTCTTTGCACATATTGTCATTCAAATTGTGAATAAGATTCTAATAATGGATGCATTGAGTTGAATTAAGAAACCTATGATAGCTTAGTAAGATGACAGTGAGGATGTGTTACTGGCAGGTAGCATGGAAATATGCTTCTTCACCATGAAACCTAGTATTCACAGTCTTCTAGCCTTTAGATATTGGGGTGTCTTCCTATTGGAGCAGTGAAGTGGGAGATGAAGATATTGCAACCTAGGGTTGACCTTTCATCTACACATTTTGGTGAGGTTGAGAATTTAGTTTAGAAAATTGTAGAATCTGCAGATCAGTGAAATTACTAATTAATAATTTATTGATGAGGAATATTGGTAATATGTCAAAGTCAGAGTCAAAGTTCTGTTACAGCTGACAGTCTGTTGGCCAGTCTATCTTGGAATAAAGCACCCAACTGGGGCTTACAACCAGATGTTTATTACTCTCAGACAGTTATGATTTTGTTGATGTGGGCCAATCTCTCTGATGAGAGGATGAGTCTGTCAATTACAATTGCTGCTGGCCATCACCAAAGCAGTCATTCTCAGGTCCAAGTTCCGTAAAACTCACAACCATATTTTATTGTCTCAGATTCAAGACTTCCCTTTGCTTCGCCTCCTATGACTCGGAGGGCTGCAGTGGAGGTATTCAACCCCACCTCCACATGGAATTTGGTATTATGTGTTATATTTGAAGTTCTCACAGTGATGACTTTGAAGATTACTGTCTTTTGAGGTGTGTTGCTATGCAGCTTGGTAGCTGTCTGCTGGCATTTCAAGGAAACATCAGTATATATCTACTAGTCAACATGGTGTTACATCTCAGAAGACTGTAATTCTCAATAACAATAAGAACTACCATAACTTTTTCTCAGGCAGACTACCTGAAGTAATGCAGGATGTGGATGGGTTAATTGCAGTCACTTGAAATAGTGTATGCATATTTGAATGACACTGCACCATATATTCAACAAGCTTTAGACATATTTATGATTTATGAAATACCAACATATTATTCTGAAAAGAGTATTCTTCAAAACATTGAGACATTTTAAAATTAACCAAATATTCTCCTAAACATAAAGCCAAAAGCTGTGTATTTAAAAATAAAGACCTATGTTTTAAGGTTCGTAGTGCTTATGTAGTACATATACTAGTCACATATAGAGAACAAATGGGCACAAAGCTTTTCTCACTGCCATATGTAAAAGAGATTTTCACCATAACCTTAGAAAATCAGAATGCCATTGTTTATTTTGGTAGTATTTGTTATCTTTTCACATCAGAATTGGTTTGGAATAGATAGTAGAAAGCCATACACTCTTTACCTTGATCACAGTATTAGAGAAAATGTTAATATTATGAAGGAAAGTGCACTTTAATATTATAGGCATTCTTATAGTCTAGCATATCAGTGTTGGTTTATTGTTCTTGTTCTCATGTGTTTCCAGCACTTCTTCTTACAACTGATATAGAAAGTCTCTCTCACACAAACACACACACCCACACACTTCAGAGTAAGCAGATGTGATCACGTGTATTTGTTGAACACATCAGTGCATCACACTTTCTTTAGTATTGTAAAATATATACATTAGTAAAATTATATCGCTTTCCATTAGATCTTAGTAGTTGTGCATATATGTTAGATGTACCAGTCTGCTAATTGCATTTTGATTGAGCCACGTAGACCTATACATGCAAATATTTTGAATGCCAGACATTTTTAATAGGGGGGAAAGTTGTAGAAAATAGTGTTATAAAATAGTTCTAACAGAACACATTATTTTTGGTTGGATTGGTGGACCCTAATTTTACGAGCCTTCCAATTTTCTGTCTGTAAATAGGTAGATGCTTTTATTTGGCCAATAATTATGTTTTATAGTGAACAGAAATAATCCATGTACATTCTTAGTTGTATATTAGACTTTTCTGTCATACATATCTGTTCAGCTATTTTTATATGAACAAACAACTCACTGGAAATGAAAGTGGTCAAACAAAAGAACCCATTAATGCAGTGCAGTCTGCTGAAGTAAGGGGGTGCATATTTTAATATCCTTAAGTAATGCTCAAGCTTTACACTGCTACCTCAAAAATAAAATATTGCATTAGGTAGTTAGCCCTCCTGCTTTATATTCGGTAGGTCTTGCTACCAGCTGGGAGGTTGCAAGTTCAAGTCACGATGAGGTCATTGGATTTTTTCAGTTTACCTAATCTTTCCAGCCGCACTATGGCCCTGGGGTTGACTCAACTTCTAACAGAAATGAGTACCAGGAATCTTCCTAGGGTGTAAAAGGTGGCCAGCACCTAAGGCTGACAGCCTTACTGCCATCTGTGAGCAAATTGTCTAGAGAAAATGTGGGTGCCTCAACATCTCACAATCCTACGGGCCTTCATGGCCTGTTCCAGGGATATCTTTTAATTAATATAATAAATGTGCAATTCATGGGACCGCAGAATAACCTGTTAGCAAAGAATATGCAGAGGCCAGTAACAGGTTTGCTAGCTGCACCACTACACACTGTAACCTGTAACCTGTAACCTGTCCTTGTACATATACTTCTCAACTACATTCATTACAGAATATTGTT